GTTCACTTATTCTGCAGAAGTGTCAGTAAAATATGTTTTATCTAACAGCACGTGCTTCTAATTACTACAATTCGCACCCAGTTTTGTGCGAATTGTAACATCCATAAGTTGAGATGTGTCCATTTTTCTCCATTACGTACAGATTTTTCACAAAAACGTCATAACGCAATACATAAAAGAAAGACCACCACGTAGTTTGAGACTTAAAGACGTAGATTTCACAAAAAAATCAAGATGAATGAGGATGCATATTCGTTTGACATCAATGTTCTTCCCTTTTCTGTGGTTTCTTTGTACTTTTGTTAACAAACACAATAATAAAAAAAAATGTTCATTATGACAAACGAAATAATAATTTGATATAAGTAAGAGTTTTTTTTTCTTCCCGATTTGTAAAAAATTCTTACGTGTTAGAAAAAAATGAATACTATTTTCGAAACCTAAGTAGCTGAATAATGGAAAATCTGTTATTAGAACCAAAAACGTTTATGAAGTTTAAATTCGCAGGCCTGTGTTATTAATAAAATTCAAAAGCTCTATAAAACTAGCGAGTGAGGTAGCCTTGGAGATGTTGATCCCAGAATTAGCTCCAAAGCTTAGGATTTACGATAATTTCTGATAATGAAAGACATAAGAAAAAACACTTTATTTTAGATGTTAAGATGTGTAAACATTCACGTAAAGTTCCATAGCCACTAGTATTTTGTTACTATGAGCTTAAGTCTCTCAGCAAAACACTAGAACTAAAACTTGAACACACTATTATCACTCATAGTTTAAGATCTGTGTTATAAAATATGAGGATGTTGGTGAAAATACTAATCTACTGACTTACAACTAATAATGAGGATGTTGGTGAAAATACTAATCTACTGACTTACAACTAAGAAAGAGGATGTTGGTGAAAATACTAATCTACTGACTTACAACTAATAATGAGGATGTTGATGAAAATACTAACTTACTGACTTATAACTAATAATGAGGATGTTGGTGAAAATAGTAACTTACTGACTTATGCCTAATGATAAGAATGTTGTTTATCCTCATTATTAGTTCTAAGTCAGTAAGTTAGTATTTTCACCAACATCCTCATTATTAGTTGTAAGTTAGTATTTTCGTTGGTGAAAATACTAACTTACTGACTTAGAACTAATAATGAGGATGTTGGTGAAATTAGTAATTTACTGACTTACAACTAATAATGAGGATGGTGGTGAAAATAGTAATTACTGACTTACAACTAATAATGAGGATGTTGGTGAAAATACTAACTTACTGACTTACAACTAATAATGAGGATGTTGGTGAAAATACTAACTTACTGACTTACAACTAATAATGAGGATTTTTATGTTTTGTTTTATGTCCGTCACATATTCTCTTTTCAATTTTACCTCTGGTGAAAAAGAAAAGAAATATTTAACATATCATGAACCAAGATAGTGGTTCATTATAGGGATCGCAAGGAATTGTACAAAACCCTAACAGAACGTTCGGGTAAAAAGCACCTAAAACAGTAAAGATTGAGTTCAAACAACACTTTAAATCATTTGCTATTGACTGCTAAGGCTGTACACATAAAAAATGCACACAAAAAACACGCATTTTGGACTTACAATGAAAAGAAAATTCGCTCAAAACGCCCTGTTTGTGATTTTTCTTATTATCATTGTTATTTTCTTGGCAGCCTACAACAAAAAAAAGCTTGGTGTATTGCATCCAAACCTTTTATAGAGTATTAAATAAGGTGCTGTAAAATGACGTAGGTGTATTGAAAAGTCGATTTCTTTCTTATATATTTTAAATAACTTAAAAATAACATAATTCTGGTGTAAACGATGTTATGATTACCCCTTGAAATTAGCTTTCTTACATATATCTGGTGTTCCTTTAAAAAACTTAAGTACAGAGTAAAATGGGAATTGCCAGTCAATAATAGATGAACATTAGATGACTTTAATATGTAGAATACTCAATGCTTTGTACACTATACAATCAGTGTCTTTAGGGAGCTAACCCTTATGTTATGTATGAAGTGAAGGAGTAAAAAAAATCACTACATATAATATTAAATTTATTACACATATTCACAGAATAATAACAAACACTAAGGTTTATTTGAAAAGGGTGTTTTTCTGCTGGTTATATTTTATATATGCTTAGTGGGGGTTGTGTCTTAGTGTATTTTCCCATTGCTATGAATTATATATAGAAAATTTAGTTACATAGAAACTATAAATGCTCACTATATTCTCAAATAAATCTCCATGACAGTCTCTAGCTGCAGCTTAAATTTTTACATCTTGAACTAATGGGATCAAATAGCCAATAGATACAGTAAATCATCATGAACCGTATCAGCTAGCTACTACAATATATAAAGTTAACTACCATATCAAGTAATCATTTGCCCATAGTTGAGCATAAAAAAGCCAGCAAACAACATAAATAAAAAAATTTGGAATTTAAAAACTTGCAAATAGAGATCGTAAAACAAAAAGTAAGAAAACAAGGTAGGGTATACCGTAGACATTATTTACTCAAACTACAAATCCTATTTTGACTCCACCAAATGTACTTCTAGATAACAGCATGGAGCAAAAATATGGATTTGTAATTTGAGTAAACAATGTCTATAGTGTCTCCAACCTTGTTTCCTTACTTTTTTTATGATCCATATTTGCAGGTTTTTAAATTCCCAAATTTTGATTTATCTTGTTCCTTGAGTTTTTCATTATCTTATTCAAAGTGTGAATATAATTTTTTTAGAATAAGCATATTGTATTACTGGTGTAGTGATAGTTTACATTGTTTAATAGGATGAAGTTTGTAGTATGGAGAAGAAAATAACCCATAATTATTTAATCTGTTTGTTGCTAAGCATTAAGCTTCACAGTGAACTATGTGCTGCTCTCATGATATGTATTGAAACCTAAAACTTACTGCTGAGCCCCTGGGGGGTAAATTATGAATTAACTGACAAATGTTTATTATAAATGTAATATTTAATTAGATTATTTTAATGAAGTGGTAGTAGTAGTGTTTTTGTAACAGTTTTTATGTTTTTTTCCCTGTGGATTTGAATAGTATCATTGAGCAAGCAACTGGAAGTGTACTATTTCTGAAAGACGAATAATAGATTTTCTAAAAAATACAACATTCAGTGACTTTCAGGTATTTTCTGATAAACTGATGGGCCAATTTTCAAGAGAAAATACTGAAAACTGCCATGTTGCTTAAGTAATAAATAAAACTAATTCATTATATGGTATAATCTCGGTAGGATTTACTATTTTTATGATTTTTTTTTCTGTTGGTAATTACCGGTCATATCATAGTAACTTGTTCATGTAAAGCATTTCATAACCTTTCTTTGTGATGTTTTGCAGGTCTCCTTGGTACGAAAAGGACAGTCAGCAGTCTTGAATTCTGTGAGACGGTATTCTTCTGACGTACGTACTGTAACCCTGATACCCGGTGATGGAATTGGTCCGGAGATTTCGGAAGCAGTACAGCAGATTTTTACTGCTGCTGAAGTATGTGGGGGTCTCAAGTAAAACATACTGATAAACGTTTCGTAAAATATAGTTGGTCGTCTGTTCTTTTGCATTATAAAAATGTGTCAATTATAATTTTGATTATAGTTGGCTGAGAAAAAGATAAGACAGTAATGAGAACTGTGAACCACAGTATTATGTTAAATGTGTGATGGTAGTGATTGTTAGTAATGATCTAAATATGTGATTATAAGTAGTTCTGATAATGTAGTTTTGGTCAAGAAGTTAGAGATAAAATGTTAATTATTTGTTTTATTTCTCTTGCATTTCATAATGTATATATACAGTATATATATATATATATATATATATATATATATATATATA